AACCCTTGAGTCCGAATCTGATGATTGTTTCACTGAGAATGTCCAAACCTATGAATATCGATTGAAATATTTCACTTCCTCATTTTCGATCTCAATTCATGAACTTCGAGCAACTTATGATAAAAATAAAGGTTGGATTCGAACTCAGGGTGTTGAGGAAGCGACCCATGAAATTTGAGACCGATGACCACCATCTACGGCGGTTTGTCCGCGACCGGCATTGACATCTAGCCACCTTCTATTTTATTTTACATTTTAATTATTTTTATGTTAAATAAAAAAATACCACGTCGTATGAAATAATAATAAAATAATTTAGAGTGATAAAAGAATGAACAATTCAAAAATTTAGTGAGTATATTAGAAAAATCAAAAGTAATGTGGGTAAATAGGAGAGAGTAAAGTTCAATGAGAAACGATGTAATTTACTGTTACTTGTTTTGTTCTGTTCTACATCTTTACGAACGACTAATTTCTCTGGCAGATTTCCAATGGTTACTCCATAAAAATTAGGGGTGTGAAAAAATATCCGACCCAGTTGACCTGACCCGCAGATCCGGATCTAAAAACAGGGTGATTTTTTATAAAAAAAATACCCGGTCGGGTCTGGTACCCGGCTCGACACTTTCCGGGTCGGGCCCGGGTCACAAAAATTGATTTTCCGGGTACCCGAGTACCAGATTAAGTTTATATATATATATATATATAATTTATAAAATGTTATAATCAATCTTCTTCTTGTATTGTATTCCGACAAACATCTGATTCTGGATTTAAATAAATTAAGTAGAGTTCATTCCTAGCCGATTTAAAAAAGTTAAGTCAAAATAGGTTGCATGCTCTTGTCTATTGATTGTGGTTATTTGGATTAGCTTTTCCTGCCTTGATTATTATATAATCACTTGATGCTCTGGTAAGATGGCTTTTCCTGACATTAATGGTGAATTGTTTGTTGTCTGATGATGATTTGTTGATATTTGAGAAATGAATATTTTTTCTTTGATATGGATTATTAAAGTATAAACAATTATATCAGTTAATATCGACACAAAACCGTTTGTGGTAGTAATCTCTGCTACTGCAACTACCAGACTGAAATTAAATATAAACTTTTAGTTATGAACTTTTATGTTTTATTTATATTATGGATTATTAGATTTTGTATTTCAAATTTTTAAATTTTTTGTTTGGATGTTAGATTATGTAATTCGAACATTTAAATTTGTTTGTATGTTTTTTTATTTAATAATTTGAAGAAAAAAATCGAGTATCTAGGTACTCGCAAAATCTGGGTACCTGAAACATCCGGGTCGAGACACGGGCCGAGAAATCACCGACCGGATGTTCCGGGTACCCGGTAATTGAGTACCAAAAATTCAGGTACCTGGATTTGCACATCCCTATTAAAAACCCGATTCTATCAAAAACCCTAATTTCCAGGATTTTGTCAACTTTGCCAACCGTAGATCAATCTCTCCTGGTAATATTTCATTCCTTTTTTAAAAAAAAAAATCGTTATATCGCATCAATTGGGTATCTTTAAATCAACTTCATTGCTCTGTTACAGAAACAAATCAAATTTAGAAAAACTTAAAAACTTTGTTGTGTCTGCTGTAGAATTATTGTTACGAGTATTTCTGATTTTATGTATGCATAATATCCTTTCTGTGGTTTTAATGAAATTTAACGAAAGTAATATTTAGATTGTAAAGGATGGGATTTTGCAAGTAATTAACGTGAACTTTGAACGTTGTTTGGGAAACACAATAATCAATTTAATTAGGTTCCAAACTAATTCCTTTAGTTTTATGATATCTTGATTAGCTTCTTTTCCCTTTTTGTCTTTTGATGTGTGTGTGCGTGTTTTTTTTTTTGGGGGGTGTTGCTAGAAAATTGTTATTTAACATTTAAACTAATTGATTTGAACTGCAAAATATGATTTCCAATATATATTTGCAGGTAGATTATGACTTGTTAGTGTTGGATGAAAGTGATCTAACTTGAGAAAACATTCATTTCAGGTGTTTTCTATGAGGTGAGAGACAAGTTGGATGATGGCAGACTTACAAGGTTATCCAAGCACCTGCTTGCACACCGGGGAACTTGCACTGTTGGCAATTCTAGTTTCAGGAGGAATTGTATTGCAAATCTTGGTCAGTAATGCTTTTCTCTGTTTATTGTCTACCTCTGTCATTTTTCATCTAAAATGTTTTCATACTACTCCTTTGATCTAATTCTTTGTTTATGATGTTTTAGGCATGTGCTCTGTACAATAATTGGTGGCCAATGCTGACTGGTTAGTGATCACCTAGTTTATGATCTTAATCTTCTGTTACCAATAATTTACTTATTCTCCAATGATTTTGTTGGTTTTTCTTTTTCTTCAAGTTAAAGAGTTTGAGTTTTAGATTTTTAGCTCACATTTTTGCCTATAATCTACCTTTGAAACCGATGGTTACCATGTCAAGAAGACGACTGTAATTGAGTGTTTGCTAAGTCTGTCAGTACTAGGAAGAAAAGCTTAATTGTTTGCTACGGCAAACTCTCCTTTAAGTTGCAGTCTTACTCGTATTGCTGTACGTGCTGGTCATTTTCAGCAATTTTTTCTTGATTTTCAGAAAAAAAACAAACTACAGAGTAATGTATCTTAGGGTTCAACTGAACTTCTCATCTATAGACATGCATTATGCATGCTGGAAACGAATCACCCCCATGTTTCTTTGGATTAATTCCTTTCTTGTAGTGCGTCTTTACCCTTCAGTTTATTACATTATTTGAAGATTGCATTGGTTGCTGTGTAAATGTGCTTAGAGGTTATTGTTGCTGCAATTAGTTATCTACAAAATAATGCATCTTATAATTAACTGAAGGAAATGACCATCCAGCTCAGTTGGTAGAGCACAAGGTTCTTAACTTTGAGGTCGTGGGATCGAGTCCCATGGAGGGCATTTCATAATTTAGAGGTCTCCTACGGAAGCTGCTCTCAACCTAGTATTGGGGGCAGCCTACTATCTTACCTCCCCTTTACGGCTTTACCCCATTACATATGGGAACAAGAAACATCCATCCATTTTTATAATTAACTGAAGCTGTCATCCAGGGGCATACATTATGCATGCAGAAGTGAATAATCTACATGATCCTCGTGTTAATTTCTTTCTTGTTGTACGGATTTAGTCCGCAATTTGTTACATTTTTCGAAAGTTTGTTTGCTTGCTGTGTAAATGTTCTTGAAGTTAATATTTTTTGAATGGGCATGAAATTTTTGCCGTGTGTGAGCGGGTGCTGAGATTTTCTGGCAGCTCTATTTGTGTAATTAAGCAAGAAACTTCATTTGGTTATCCTTATACATATTACTCCATTTAAGCACCCTGATATAATTCATTTCTGTTGCAGTAATAATGTATGTGCTTCTTCCAATGCCTTTGCTGTTCTTTACGGGCTCTTATGCTTCTCTTTTATCTGAATCCGACAACGGGTAACCTTTTTGTTTGCCCTAAACTTCATATATAAGATTTTGATAATCTTCAGTTTAAGCTCGAGATTTGTAACACTCACGTTCGTCTTCCTAATAACGGTCAATTTAACAGTTGGGTCAATGCAACGAAATTCTTGACCGGAGCTTCGGCAATTGGAAGCATTGCTATACCGGCTATCCTAAAACATGCTGGAATTATCGGTTGGGGCGCACTGGCAATGGAACTCTCATCTTATTTCATATTTGTTCTAGCCATAATGTGTTGTATTCGAATGAATGATGACGATGATTATTACAGATTCCTCTGAATCATCATAATTCAGTTCCCGCCGGCGATCATGCAAAGCATCAAGGCTCTTTCTTTCCTGTTTTGATGAGCCTCATTCCCATTGCTTATGTAGATATTGTGTGTTTTATTTTCTTTCTTTTTTCTTGTGCCCATGTATTGTTGTGTTGGAACTTTGAATCTCTTTTATGTGGAGATTGAACCTTGAATCTGGTATTTGCCTCAAAATAAGAACATCCAAATGCTAACGAAGTGGAATTGAAGTTAATAAATCCAAACCTTACCAACCTAATCTATAATTTTAAATTCGATTTCAAGCTGTCATGACAATTTGGGTACTTTTTCCTCTAAATTTCCTTTCTTCTCTTAAATTCTGATAAACAAAGTAACAAGATCAAAATTCATGAGAATAACAATTTTCCATTAAGTTAAAGTACAATAACTCAAAAAAAAAGTCTAGTTCAACCTCCAAATAATCAAATTTTCTAGCGACTTACATTCGATTTTTGATTATTCGGTTATCAAAAGACGACGCGAAACTGAGGAGCATCAGACCCATTGGCAGGCAGAATTTCCCAGCGACAAGGTTCCAGATCGTCAGACACGGGGCAGAATCCGGCTAAAGTAACCTTATCTGCAGTAGCGGCTACGGACCCGAATTCGAAGACCGTAACACTCTCCGGACGGGGCACTTCAACGGCTCCGTTCATTCCTGGGACGGGTTTTGGGGTCTCGTTTGGCTTTGGTTCGGTTACGGTTTCAGGTTTAGAGTTGCTAGTGAACCAAGAGAAAAGACCCATGTTTGATTGCGTAAGATTTCCAAAGGTACTTCTAGAGTTTTTGGAGATAGTAAAGTGAAAGGCTTTTAGATGATGGAATTGGGAAATCTCTTTCAAAGTACGAGAATGACCTTTGGCCTTTATGGAATTTATAATTGGTCAATTTAGTTTTAGTCCTTGAAGTAAAAAATTTAGTGCCTGTAGCAGGTGACCGTTTGATTGAGTTGAGTTGAGTCGAGTCAAGTGAAGTACAAAAATTGAGTTATTGAAATTGATGATCCCTATTATAACTCGAATTTAATTTAAAAAAATTCAATTGATTCGAGTTTATAAAATTCTAGTCAAGCTGATTTATTCAAGTTTTTGTTTAAATTTCATTATAAATATATATAACATTATAATACTATTTGATTTTAATTGAAACGATTTTTATAACCATATATAATACATATATATTTGTTCATATATCATGCAAAGTCGATAGATTCGACTTAAACTTGAAAATCAATATGTTAATTACTAAAAAATTTGAGTTACTTGAGTTATATTTTATAACTTGATTTGAATTAGAATTTTTTCAGTCGAATTTATGAAATTACAATTAGAAATCAATTCGAATCGAGTTTAATTGAGTCAAAAAATTAATTTTTCGAGTCCAACCAAGTTTTGCTTTACTCTTTGTTATATATATATATATATATGTATATATTCTTTTGGTACAATATTTTTATCATTTAAATTAAAATATATTAAATATTTAATTATTTACTTTAATTTTTTTTATATAAAATTAAATAAGTTTATGAATTTAGGAAAAATTCAACTTAGGCCTTAAATTAAAAAAATAACTCGATCCAATTGTTATGACACTAGTTACTATAAATTGTCATGTTAATATCGTGAATCATTATGTCCAACAATATAGATTATCACATTAATATCGTAATAATCAATAACGAAAATAGTTACTGAATGGATTATATTAACTTTTTAAATTTAATGGCATTAAATAGAAAAATAACACAATGAACGCATTAATTTCTTTTAGAACAATTTGAGGGCATCGTGAACCATTAAGCCCAACTTAGCTAACCAACTTGATATTACTGATTTCCCCATTTTCAACCGAAACCTAAAAGAAATGACCGTCGGATTCAACTTGTCCAAACAAGCTCCAGCACGCCTAACCTCGCTTACCGTCGACAAATTCCTGAAATCCCAGAAAAACCTCTCTAAACCCTCACCAAAGCTATGGCCCAACGATCCACAACTTCGAATTCCAGCCTCGGGAAACAACCAGCAACACCCACCACCCATTTTACAAACCTTAGAATCGTGCACCAGCTTCAACAAATTCCACCAAATACACGCTCAACTGCTCGTCTCCGGCCTGCTCCAACATCCTCCCGTGGCGATCCGGGTGGTTAGGAAGCTCTGCAACTATTTGCACTCAGTTTCACACGCCCTTTTGGTATTTGATTGTATCAGAGAGCCTGATACATTTCTTTGCAATGTCATATTGAATGGTCTTTTGAGTTTGGATCCATTTAGTGCTTTGAGTTTTTACTATGAAAAAATGGTGGGTAAATCTGTTAAGCATAATGAGTACACTTTTCCGTTGTTAGGGAAAATTTGTGCCGATATTAAGTCTTTGGAAGAAGGGAGAAAGGTTCATGCTTGGGTTTTGAAACTTGGGTTCCAGTCTGATTTGTTTGTTAAGAACTCTTTTATTCGCTTGTATTCAGTTTGTGGGCAGATAGGGAGTGCCCGTGAGGTGTTCGATGATGGGTTTGTATTGGATTTAGTTAGTTGGAATTCGATGATAGATGGCTATGTGAAGAATGGGCAGGTTGGTATTGCGCGTGAGCTGTTTGATGAGATGCCTGAGAGGGATACTTTTAGTTGGAATATAATCATTGCAGGGTACGTGGGTGTTGGGAAAATGGAGGTCGCGAGAGAGTTGTTTGAAAAAATGCCGTTTAGAGATGTTATTTCTTGGAATTCTATGATTGATGGGTATGCAAGGATTGAAAATGTTTCAGAGGCTCGTAATCTTTTTGATCGGATGCCTGAAAGGAATATTGTTTCTTGGAACATCATGTTGGCTTTATACGTTAGATGTAAGAAGTTTGTCAACCATGGTCTAATGTTGTTTGATACGATGATGGAAAGAGGAGAGGCTAGGCCCAACAGTGCTTCTCTTGTTAGTGTCTTGATAGCATGTGCAACTTTGGGGAGGCTTGATAAGGGCTTGTGGGTTCATTCTTTAATTGAGAATAACAAGATTAAATGTGATGTATTACTTTCGACTGCTCTCTTGACGATGTATGCAAAATGTGGGGCTATGGATTTGGCAAGAGATGTTTTTGATAACATGCCTGACAAAAATGTGGTATCATGGAATTCCATGATTATGGGATATGGTGTGCATGGCTATGCTGAGAAAGCCTTAGACATTTTCATTGATATGGAAAAGAGAGGTCAAGTGCCAAATGCTTCTACCTTTACTAGTTGTTTATCTGCATGCAAGTATTCAGGAAAGGTTTTAGAGGGTTGGTGGTGCTTTGATTTAATGTGCAGAGTTTACCAGATTGAACCCAAGGTGGAGCATGTCGGTTGCATGTTTGATCTACTTAGCCGGGTTGGTTTTATGGAACAGTCAAAGGGACTTATGAGTAAGATGCCTCTGGAGTCAGGACCTGCCCTGTGGAAAGCTCTACTTTCTTCATGTAGGACCCTCTCTAATTTAGAGCTTGGAAAGGTTATAGCCAAACAACTAATTGACCTGGAACTGACAGATGTTGGGCCCTATGTGTTATTATCTTACATATATTCTCTGGAAAGGAAGTGGGGTGAAGTTGAAAACATTAGAAAATTTATCAAGGATAGGGAATTTTCAGAAAGACATGCTTTACCACATAGGAGAACGATCATATACTCTATGTTGATGGAGTTTTGTGTTCAGCTGAAACTGTTTTGCAGAGATCCTATAGGGGTTTGAGATTTTGGGACGGTGAACTAACAGGAAAAACATGTACATGCAAGTCAAAGAATAAAATTCCATGGAAAACATCTCTCGAAAATGGCACAATTAAGGCAGTGAACAATATTTATAAATATCATATCTGATTGGGCTTAGAATATATGACTACTGTTTAGTGGGATAAGGCGATGAGAACATAAAGCTGCAGAGTTGTGTTGATCCACTTCAAGTACATTTGTTTTTCATTTTTTCCATTTTTGTTCTTTCTTTTTGCTCATATCACCGAGATGTATAACTCTTTGAAGTTGGTTCAGCCATGCGATATACTCCATAATCTAGTTGGAAATCCCATCTTTCTCAGCTTGCTTCAAGTAAAGATATTCACCAAATCATGCCATCTTTGATATTATTTGCAACTATAACATTTTTTGGATAAGTAAATTTTTATTTGTTTATCAGAAGAAAGCGATGTTTTAATAAGGCTGTAAGACCAGATAATCTGTCTGTAATTAGCCTAATGATCAATCTGACCAGATCCATCAATTGTCTTTCCTATGTTCCATGCAGTGTTGGATAGGGTTGTAAATGAGACGAGACAGATCGCGAGCTATTCGAGATCGACTTGATCAAGGTTCGATAAATACTCGGATCAAATGGACTCGACTCGAGTTCTTAACGAGCCGAAACTAGTTACTTGATATTCGACTCGAAAAGCTCATGATCAACTCGAAAATATAATAAATTAAGATTTTATTTTTTTTAAAAAAAATTATTAATAATATTAACATTTATGTATTGATTTTAAAAAAATACAGTAAGATTTGCATGTATTTAATGTTCAGGTTCAAGTTGGAGGTTTCAATCGAGTTAAGTTTAAGAATTTTTTTCATTTCGAGCTGCTCACGAGCTTTAGTTCAAGATTTCGAGTTCGAGTCGAGTTCCATTTCATAGTTTTCGAGTCGAATCTAGCTCAGTAATACTCAAACTCGACTCGGCTCGTTTATACCCCTAGTATTGGATTCTTTATTTACTAAACCATTTATTCTTTTTTTTCTTCTTAATATTGATCTTGCTTTATTTTTATGAATATTGAAGATCAATAGTGTTAGCGTTCAGATAACCAAGTCGTTTCACGAAGGATGTTTCTCTATCTATTACATGCTGATTTTTTTGTGTTTCTAAACATCAAAAGATAAGGCAGTAGACAATGTATTATTGTTGATTTAATAGGTTTAATCATACCTTAGCTGTTAGGAACTAATAGAAGTAGAATTATGCCTAAGGATACCAGGTCATCTTTCTTAATTGTTATTTGGGATTTTAGAATTGCTGCCGCATTTCCTGCCTGAGCAAATAGGGTATGTTAAACTGTCATGACCAATATGAATTTGTTTGGTACCGTAAACTAATAGATAACATACTTGTGGATAAAATCAGGAAACTGTGCATGAGTGGAAAGGGATGAATAATCGTAAAACTGGCAAGTTTATAAGAGCAAGTCAAGGTCTTTTCCTTGACTATATTCTATGACGACTTCTTTGAGAAATTTGATTTTTTATCAAGAAACATAAAATTTCATTAGTTGACGAAAAAATAGATTACATAAGAATTTATCTTACTAAAGTTTGTCATCCCTTTCTTTGACAAAATAATAGATTATATGCTAACCTATTAAGCATGATGAAACTACACATTCAGAGAAAGCCTGGGAATTTATTCTTATACCTGCATTGCTGAACGGAGAACTGAAAGATCCTAGTGCATATTCCTAGACACTAATTTGAACTCCTGTATCATATGCCTCTCCACCTTTCCAATTTTCTGGTATGTTATTAACAGGAACAATCCATGACTCATCTCCATCCTCTCCACTCAGTAACATTCTTAAAGACAATGGACCACTTGGTGGTGAAGTGGTTGTCCATACTGCTCCATGACTCCTATCCAACAGCTTGCACACGAAGTTTTGAGTCTGCACATATTAGAGTTAAATATCCCATTAGTTAAGTATTGTACTAGTTTTAGATTCGGGTATCAAATCTACCATCCGTTTGCAACTCCATATTTGGTCATACCAGCTGATATAGAAAATGAGGTTTAGAAAGCACATAATACCTCACATAGCTGCACAGCTGTGATATCCTTGTCACCTTGTTGATACCATAGAACAAATGCCAAATAATGAGGGTAGTCGCTGTTCTCATCAATCTTGATTGTAATATTCTTATTTGGGTAGCTGCATGAAACGCTGTATGAAAGGAGGAATGAGATAAGGGATCCATGATTTTGTCCTATCAATATAAAGTATACTTTGTTTTGACTTAAACAACAGAAATAATAAAGAACTTTGTTGTTCTTCTTGAAGTTGCTTCTAACTCAGAGATTCATCTCATTATAGAGAAATCTTACCGCCTATATTCAATGTCGACCACACCAAGGGCTAATAAAGATGCAGCTGCATCTGTTGTCTGAGCCATCCTACCAAAGGCTCGTTGGCTCAGGACAAAGTCAGTGTTGTGACCTGAACCTTGATCAGTTACAACAACTGTCACACCTTTGTCTGAGCAGTAGTTGCTGTTGGTGCACCTCACCTTGCAAAGTAAGAATCGGTCCAATGTAAATTGAATTTTCCGTTTGCATCATTCAATAGCTTGTGTGGTTTTATTTGAGTATCATACTACAAAAACTTCAGGACACATGCACGGGCACATTAGTCTTTAATACCTGGTAACAAGCACCACAGCCAACACCATTACGGTAGAGGTCGGATGCTGCAGATACATCTCCACCATTTATTGTTGCTCCAAAAGAACTGAATCCGCATGCACCAACTGCATTTGATTAAGAAAATTAGTGAGCATTTATTTTAAGTGTTATGCACAATAAAAGGTATATGCATTCTCTCTATATCTTTCCATCTGTTCCCTGATCATCAGAGTTTGGGTAGTGCGCAGCTCGTGAACGGGTGAAACAGTTGCTGCATGTTGCCGCCTCCACCAGAATTTGTTTGAGAAGCAAAGTTGTGAAAAGCATCAAAAGGGATTGAAGAGAGACGGCCATAGATGATTTAATGAGCAAAGATTACAAAGAAAGCAAAGGATATAAGGTGGTAGTGCATGGAATAAGCAGCTGGAATTTATAGTGAAGCTAGCAGCAGCCACAATATCTTAATTTGGTAAACTTTGCCAACTTTAACATTGTGTAAATATTACTGAGTGGAATTCTGTTAGAACATCCCTCTTGATTTTTCTATTCTATAAATTAACTTCCCTTCCCCTATTGAAATATCTTACCAGTATTTAGACAATATGCAAATAGTGTGAAAGATACTACTAGTATATCAAACCCAAGATTTTCCAGTTATTAATTAATTAAAGTTCGCCTTAACCATCGTTTAGGATGATTTTCTTCTTCTTCTTTGCAATCTTAATGACATATCTCTGACATCAGAAGAAATGGTATACTATATAAAACAATCTCTAGTTTGCAGATGCAAGCTATTTGAACAAGGCAGGTCATTGTCAGAGATGGGGGCTGAAAGTTGAAAGGATGAATACTTTGAATGAGATTTATTTTTCTGGGTCTACAAGGAAATTCAATTGAGTTTGGTGGTTTTCCACTAAACAAGCCCTGGTCAGTTTTTATTGGTGTTCCAATTGGCCATGATTATAGGGCTTGTGATTTCTATATTTGTCGATTATCTAACTGCAATACATCATACTCGTAGGGACGAAAGCAAGATTTTATGTTAGGGGCGAACTTGAACTTATAAAATTCTATAGGGGTTAAAAACATATTTTTAATAGAAAATACATAGAAAAATCTAAAATCTAAAATATATGATGGTTTTAAATTTTCAAGGGGTCGAATGCCCGTACCCACCCCTCTCAATCCATCCTTGTATACACAGGTGTCAGCATGGACGGAATTAGAATCAAGGGGTTAATTTATTTTACAATAAAAGAATGAGAGTCTACAAGTATTTAAACTTATTCATAAACTGTTTTGGGTTTATAAAAAAATCCATAATTAATATTTTATCTAAAATTCAGGGGTTAAAATAAGAATTAAATCATTTTATTAACTTGTTATATCATCAAACTAACAACATTTAATGTTTTAATTATCAAAATAACGTAAGTGATTAAAATATAACATTTTTAAATTTAGTGAATAAAAGTGTATAAATATAAAAGGTGTGACCATTTTGATAGTGTAGACACACGTTTTCGTCCGAGTTCTAATTGTTTTCTAAAAAAAATAGTTATCACAGATAGTTTATTCGATGTTATTGTATAAAACAATTTGAGAGGAACCCTCCCTCTGCTAAATAGTTGTCTCTGGATATGGTAACACTATCCAAATTTGTTAAACGTTTTATTTGTAAGAAAAATTGTGGCAAAATTGGGAAAATAAAACAGGCAGGAAATTTTTTGAAAATTAGGATTTTGATAGTTATGTTATTTGTGATAATTTGTGACGAGTTTTACGTACATTATAACAAATGTCTATATTTTAAAATAAATTTGTAAGCATCTTATTTTATTAATTAATTATTCTGCTTACATTATTTATCTAATTTTACCGAATTTATCCTTCTTTATATTTATTTTAACCCATTATAAAAACTTATCAATTTTATTGAAAAATAACACTTCTAGCTTCCTATGCAATGTCAATAAAAGGCATTTTTAAATGAATCAACTTGGCTATAGCTCTTCCACAGCTGCCTCTCTCTCACACCTCCTCCCATCTCTCTTTGTCTTGTCAGAGACGATTGTCTAAGATCAAAAACTACATAATTTTACATCTCTCAACTTATTCACCGTCGTCGCCGTTGGATTTTATCAAATGTAATCGATAACCAATGTCGAAATCCACATTAAAAAGTGGTGACACTTGACACGTTACGGCTCCTAAAATTGTCGTGTCCGAATAATGTAGTTTAGCTGGTTACTAAAACTACGAAAGAGTTATCTGAAGAAAGAATTATATTTATACAATGTGTATACACGTTTGATGTTCTCTAAAGATAGAAACGTTTAATTTATATACTAATGAGATCATTAGATGTTGTTGATCGCCTATAAATTCATTTTAACCATTACTTTCTCTTGAGCTTGATTTTGATGCATAAGGGTTGTGTTAATTCATCCAAATCTGACATTTGAGAACCCAGAAATTAAAAGAGTCTGCTGAACTGATAATTTTTGTTCAAGGGGGGTCGAAGAAATGACACATCCACAGCACGCTGACGTAGACCGGTATGAAAAAGAAATCCATTCAACTACATCAGCCATGACATGGAAACCATTTTGGCTTAGGG